TGCCTAATAGTCTCTCCTAGTGGCTTTTTAGGCTTCGTCCATCTTCTAATAGGAAGTCTTCTGCTCTTATTTTGAGGTCGGACAAGATTTAGGGTCTACAACGAGTTAATTCCCACGGGTACAAGTTAATTTCTGCGGGTATCACTCAGCATCCATAATTAAAAATAAAATAAGTAAAATGAGAAATATTTCTCATTCCCCTATCTTAATAAGGACAGATGATCCACCCACATTTTAGAGATGTTATTTTTTTCCCTTTTTTACCCGTGACCCACCTATTTATACTCACTTGATTTTGAATTTTTATTATTATTATTATTATTTTGGAAAATATTAATTACGTTAATTATAAGCTTATCTCTTACAAAAAAAAGATAAGCTTTATCTTATATTATTCTCTCTCTTTTTAATTATATATATATATATAATAATTAATTATTATAAATTTTTATTAATAAATATTTTTTATTTTACTAATAATTTAAATAATAATAATAATAATAATAATAATATTTAATATTTTTCGATGTCTTCATATTCTATAACTCGAACAATATCATAGAAAAACAAATAATCACTTATATCTCCAAGTTTGTAATTAATGAAATGGATTCAAAAAGTGAACGTGTGTGGACATAAAAAAATCTCATCAACTCCCTTTTCGTACTATTTACTAATACGACTTACATTACATAACTACCTACCTTACAAATTTTGTCACTCCTAGAAACTCAAACACATATTCATATATAATATATATATATATATATATATATATATATATATATATATATATATATATATATATGGACAACAAAAATGTGGTACTCAAACAAATAATTTGTGGAAACATAATAATGCAAGTGTAATAAATCGGATGTGTACTCAAATAAATAAACGAGACAACCACAAATAATAACAGTTCAATTTCAATAACAATGAGTGGAAACATTCATACAATATCGTGATTGAGAATCCCTAAAACAATCATGAGTTCAATTTAAGCATAAAACTAGAAACATAAAATATTAACATCAAATATACACAAAGCGCCTTAAAACTCAAATTCAACTAGAGAAACGTTATCTACTACAAATGGGTCACAACGAAGGTATTATCATCGCTCGTCATGGTTCGAAAACACTATTGGAGGTGTTGTCATCATCTACTAAAAAACCTTCACATGACACGAAGAAGAAACAATTATGGATGAAATAAAACGTGATTTTTACGTCAGACCGTCATTGGAATAGACATGAAAGTCACTTTTACATCAGGTAAGAGCAAGCCTAACGTAAAAAGTGGCTTTTACGTCGATCCCAATGAGGTCCAATGTAAAATCTTGTGCTATTATTTTCAAAAATGTCACTATATTTTTTTTAAGTCGGTTATTTTGTAACTGATGAAATATATATCAAATTAATAATAATAATTTAAAATTTATACAATTATAAATATTTAGTTATGTATAATACATGCAAAATATAATATTAAAATCAATTTATTATAATTTATATATAAATTTTTTTATGTAAATAATATAAATTTTTTTATATAAATAATATAAAATGAGGACAAATCGATTGATAAATCTAAAGTCTAATAATGACGAGAATTTATTGAGAGAGTTTGGAAACAAAGACAAGAGTAAGAAGGAGAGATGATTAAAGAAGTAGGGAAGGGAAACCCGCCCCCTCCCCATGGCTGAGTTAGTGAAGAAAAATCACATAATTGAAGTCTGATAAATATGAGACATGGACATTTGAGTTTTGAGACAAAGGATATAAGGTTTGCTCTAAACAAATAAAGTATGTCTATTGAGTTTTGAGTGTTAGGAGTAACAAGCATGAGATGTGATGAGTTAAGAGAATTATTGAAGTTGTGACATGATTCATGTGCTTGACCTGAGACTTCAAATTGTTTCATACTACCAACGATTGGGTTTTGTTGAATAAAATTAAATAATCAGTTTTAAGATTTTATTAGAATAAAAAGATAATAAGAAGATAATTAGGAGTTACTTAGAATATTTTTATATCGGTGATATCTTGAGTAGTTATTATTTGATATGGAAATATCCTGTGATTGTGTATAAATGTAGCATTGTATTTCTCATTTGAGGTATGACAAATAATCAATAATATACAATTTTATAGTTTCTGAGAAATCTTTGTTATCAAATTGATATCACGAGCTAGGGTTTCTTAGGAAGAGCTACGATTTTTAGGAAGAACTAGGGTTCTTCAAAAGAGTAAAAGATAGGGTTTGAGCGTCAAAAAAGACTGTGAATGACTAGTATAACAAGTGTTGTTGTAGTTGTGCCCCAACTAATGAAGGAAGTCAGCTATGATATATGAAGTTCCCAGATAAAGATTCTCCTCAAAGCCTAACGTGTTTAGAAATGGTGGAGGAAGGTTTTGAAGAAACAGAGAACACAGAATAATTGATGATCAATGAACTCAAGGAGTTTGAGAATAAACGGGAGAAAGACAGTGCATCTCGATTTTTGTTGACTCAAGTTGTAGAAAATCTTGAGAAGATTGTTGAAGCCACATCGGCATCTAATGCATGGAACAAGTTGAAGAAGAAGCACAACAAAGATAACCGAGTCACACGGATTCGATATCAGACACTACGAAGCGAGATGAAGAGCTTGAAGATGAAGGGGTCAGAAAAAGTTTCCACATATGTGCTACATGTTGAAAACATACAGAATGGAGAAGTATTTTCCACAAAATAGATGCAATAGAACAAACAAAGGATTTGTCCGACCTATTAATAAAAGAGTTTATCAAATCTCTTAAAGCTTATGAACATCAACTGGAGAAAGATAAGGAGGATGAGAATATGAGTCTAAAATTTCTCCAAATCGAGGAGAATGTGCTCTATTCTCATAACAATAGAGGAAGAGAACATAGTGGTCGGTCCTAAGGTGGACGAAAATGAACAAGAGATCAACAAAACTGACAAGGTAGAGGACATGGATCGAGAGGAGGTCAGTCAACAAACCACTCAAATGTCGAGTATTTTAAGTGTGGTAAATATGACTATTATGCGGATGACTACTACTCGAAAAAATGCTTTAATTGGAAAGGACAGGCATTATGTGAAAGAACATAAAAAAGTAGATGAGACTTATCTTGGAAAGGAGAAGGAAAGTGGAGTAACATTGTGGATGGTCAATCTCAACACGGGAATTTAGAGTAATGGAGTTCAGGAAGATACTGAACAAGTTGATATGATTTTTAGATATAGGTGCAAGTAACCATGTGTGGGGACGAACACCTATTCAGCAAATTAAAGAAATTTGAGGGCCACCATGTTTCGTTTGGAGATGCTTTCGAGAGTCTAGGTAAAAGGCCGAGGCACAATCGGCTATTTGCATAAGGATGGCCTAGTCAAGTCGATCCAAGGTGTGATTTATGTTTCAGATCTAAAGAGTAATCTTTTGAGTATGAGACAATTGATGGAGAAGGGTATACGGTTTTCATGAAAGACCGAGTGCTCCAGTTGAGGTTGATTGCCCAAATAGAGATGGGAAAGAATGGAATGTACAAGTTGCAACTGAGAAGCATTCGGGAGAGGAGTCTGAGATCAAATGTAGGGGAAATGTTAAAGGTAAATTACTAATCTGCTCACATGCATTTCTGTGATTTAACAGAGTTGATTCATGATGATAATCATGATATCGTCCGAGTTGGTGATGCAAGTGAGTGGAAGTGGGAACAATTGAAAGGAGTCCGAGTAAGGCAAGTTGCAACACCAGTTGTTGTCAACTCAGAAGGAGGTTGAGTTGTTACACCACCAGTAGTAACTATTTCGGATATCGAGAAGGAAGAAATAGCCGTAAAGTTTAACAAAAACATGAAAAATATAGTGCTCAGATTGTCGATCTTGGAGGGGAAAGTTTGTGAATGTGTGATGTTCAGATTGTCGAGCATGGAGTGGAGAGGTTGCGGAGGAGTGGTTGGCAACCATGTCCAAACTGTTGTGAACAAAATTATCCAAGCTCTTGTAGACGAGAAGGTTGAGCTCTAGTAAACGAGAAAGTCTGAGTTGTTTTTGAAGAGGAGAAGATTCGAGTAGAAATTGAGATCCAAGTTGTTGTGGATAGGAATTCGAGCTATAGTTGAAGAGAAGAACTGAGTTGCTATGGATGAGAAGATCTGAGAACAACATGGCATGTTGGTGATGACTAAATTTTCAAGCTATGATTGAGTTGTTAATTGGAGTAAAATAGGTGGATGTGAATTTTGCATTTCTGAATGGTGTGGTCAAGGAGGTGTATGTTGAGCAACCACTTAGATATGAAGAAAGGCGGTAATGAGTCAAGAATATGTTTGTCTCAAGAGATGTATGCAAAGGTGATCTAGAATAAGATTAAGATGACTGATTTCAATTCGATATCAACTCCTATGGATAGTGACTGGTGTGAAGATGTGGATAAAGAATTGAAAGAACTCAAGGTGCTCAAGAAGATGGAAACTCCAAAGTTTGGAGTCCGAGATGTTTTAAAGATCAAGAAGTTTTAAAGTACAATAGTAGATGATTGATGTCAAGTTGATCTCTTGGTTTAAAGCTCAAAGAAATATTAAAGACAATGAGTCGGAAGTTAAAAGATCAATACTCAATTTTGTTGAAGAAATTAATTTCATTGAAGAATTTTGTTAGGTTTTGTTGAATAAAATTAAATAATTAGTTTTAAGAGTTTGTAAGAATAAAAAGATAATATGAAAATAATTAGAAGTTAATTAAAACATCATATTGGTGATATATTAGATAATTATTAATTAATTTTAAAAATATCTAAAATATAAATACAACGGTATATTCCTCAAAATAAAAAAAAATAAAAAATAATGAATAATATAGTGAAAAATTCTTTATTACTACCAACACACCGTTCCAATATAGATTATTGACTTGTCTAACTCCTCGTCTTTTTCTCCGTGTAATGGACTTCAGTCCCATCACCAGGAATCAACAGCTATGCCACCTACTCACATGTCCCCCTTCTCCACTTGGACAGCAGAGCGAAAGACGAAGAGGATCACGAGGAGGCTGATTAAGTTCTCCAATGACGAGACTAACATCAAAAAGTAGGATCGATCAACATTTTTCACATGAACTTTATTTGGAGACTGTCTTGCATTTATATCTTGTCTTGTCTTCCTCTTGCATAGTTTCCTCCTTCCTCGTGTTTGCCCGTGGGAGACCTCCATATGCACCAGCTTCTTCGTCTTCTCTTCTTCTCGCACAACTTCTCTCTCCTCCACACAACTTCATGTGGATCTTGCACAATTTTCTGTCACCTTGCTTCTTTCTCCCTACACTACTAAAAATTCTCATTTTTCAATGGAATATTTTTACAAAATTTTGATAAAAATTGCAAGAAATAAATTTTCTATAAATTTAAACAATTTTTTACAAAAAAAAAATTGACCAAAAAAAAACTAATTTTCTAATAGTGGTAGAAATAAGTTTATTATATTTGATGAAAAATATGAGATTTTCTATTTCACTTAAATATATATGAATTTATTATGAAATCGATATAATAAATCTAAAATAACTTATATATAACAAATATTTTCTATATTATTAAACATTTTGTACTAAAAATCCCTTATAATTTTTTTTATAAAATTATTTGTTGAAGTTAATAAGATATATAAATTTTTAAAAATAACATGTTAATATAATGCTTTATAAAAATTTTGTGTTTTATAAAATAATATTTTAAAGTATTTATAATTTTATTTTTTTATTAATTTTAAATATTTGTAATTTTATTTATAGATAAATCATTTTAATTATTTTTTAACTTCAATAAACATAATTTTCATATTCTAGTAAAGTATATCTTCAAATAATTTTTAATCTAATTTAAAATGAAATAAACAAATTATAATTTGAAGTGAGTATCATATCTTCAATGTTAATTGATGTAATAGTAAAAAAATTAGCGTAGTAAACAAAAAGCATCATGTACCAATATCTCGAAGTCTAATAAGCCAAAATAATAAAATAAATATTATAAATAATATAACATTTAAAAATAAATAGTTTAATACAAACATAACATAGTAATTATATAATAGTATTTTATGTAATAAAAAGGTAAAAGAAATTGTTATATTAAAATAAAAATAATATCCTATTTTATGAGTATAAGAAGGGGAAAAACATGTATAATTAAACCTTACCTTAAAAAAATATTAAAAAGGAAAATTTTAAGGAATTATATAAAAAATATAAAATATAAAAGTAAAATTTCGTATTTCAAATGTCGTTTTAAATCAATTAATATTAGGATACAAGTTAATTAAAAGAATCTACCAAACATTAATAAAAAGTCCAAAAAAATTTTAATTAGTAAAAAGAACTTAAAACGTGATATCTCCAAATTTTCACATATTGCCATAACATAATAAACAAATTTAGTGTCATCTATGAACCTTAGAATCTATAGTCAAATTTTCTTAGTATTATTTTTTTTTCTTCATTAATTTTCTTACTATATATATTTTGTGACTTGTTTTCCCTTCACTCAATTGTTCCACATAATTCAAACTTTCCTTATTGAAGTGTATAACTTCAAAACCACTCTTAGTTTACCAAACTCCTTTTTCTAGCCAAACATTTTGATTTCCTTACCACTATATGTTGTGACTCATCCTTCACTTTATTAACTATTTGAGGTATCAACTTCAAACTCCACCTTAAATAATTTAACACATTGATGTTAATCTTGTTCCTTGCAAAATTATTCCTTTTCTTTTCTTGATTCGACACAATTCAGAATTTTCTCATCTGAACTATCAAATTTAAACTCTGCCCTAGCTAGGGTTACACCACGATCTTAATCTTTATTCTTTGCAAGATTATACCAAACTCCTTTTTTCTAGCCAAATATAGTTCATATGACTTACTCTTTTAATCAAATATATAAATTCTAAGTTGCAGCTTTTCCTTTATCATTAGAGTAACACCTTTGGAAACTTTATCCTACTTCATTCACTGTACCAATGAAACTCAATTTCCTCTTTCATAAGCCAACATACCAAACATCAAATATTTTCCATCAAACATCACTTAATTAGCTTTACATCTGAAAACTAGTGGTACCCCAAAAAAAGTTTCACTAGCTTATTAGTTTTTCATACTCTCAAACCACTTAAAGTAACTAGTAAGTTTTTCACTTATGTTATTTTAAATCTTTTTATATTGCCAAAGTTTCCACGTTAATATGAAAGAGATAAATTTACGTCAAAGTAATATGGGATCCAATGTAATGGGAGGTAAATTTCCAAACAATTAAAGAAGAACAAAAAATCACTTAAAACGATTACACTATTGTAATTGTATCAAACAAGTATAAAATAGACATTTAATTCGTAAACTTAGATATTCTTAAGACTAATGTTAGACAAAGCAAATAAACTCCAATCAATAACAATAATAAAAGTATGAAACAACAACGATAACGTAGGATGAATATCTGAGAGCACATTCACACCAAATGGATGAAGTTGGGTTAATGTATATATCGCCAAGGAAGGAGAAACTGTGGGAGTCATAAACACATCCTTGGCTAATACATTCATCAAAGGTCGATGGCTAAATACTGTAAAATTCAAATAAAATAAGATTCATATAAATTGAAATGAAATCCTAATTGAATAAACATGAAAATATAAATGAAGATTTGAAGGAAAAGTAGTTATCTTGAAGACAAGAAGTGAAGTGATTAATGACTTTGTCAGTCTTGTAAATAGACGTTAAAATGCTAAAAAATCACTCATAATAATCATGGTATTGCGACAATTCATCATGACTAAAAAATGCCCAAAAAACTCGTATGAGTGTCTTTCACTACAAGAAAAAACATATTTAGCGACTGAAATTAGTGATCAAATTTTTTCGGTCACAATTAGCGACCGATTTAATTCGGTCGCAATTAGCAACCGATTTAGCGACCGAATTAATTCGGTCACAATTTAGCGACCAATTTAGCCACCGAAATATAATTTGGCTTCACATTTTTTAGTTAGCGACCAATAGTTTGCGTCGCAAAATTTCGGTCGCTAAATCGGTGGCTATTCCACACTAAAATAAAAAAAATCATTTAACGACTGATTTAGCTACCGAATTACAAATTGAAATAGTGACCGAATTGAAATTGGTCGCTAATGAAGATTAATTTTTTATTATATTTAAATTTATTTTTTTATAAATATACTTTAATTGTTTTAGTATATTTTTTAGAATTTATTTTTTAAAAGTAATTTATTTTTTTAAAAATAATTTAATTTTTAAAATATACTTTAACAATAAACTTTGGTCTCAATATTAACAAAATGAAGATTAACTTTAATTTTAAATTACTAAAATAAAAATATTATTAAAAATAAATCAAATTTATTAAAAATTTAAATTGTAATAAATTAAGACTAGAGTAATATTAACTATTCAATACATTGTTTAAGAAAAGTTTAATAATAAATATTCTTTAATTTATTTTTCAATTGAAAATTTCAATTGAAATTAAATTATATTTTAAAAATTTATATTAAATAAATTAAACACATCAAATTATCACATTTTAATTCCTCATTAATTTAATTAATTAAAAAAAATTAATCAAATTATTACAATTTTATTTTATAAAACTTTATTTTTAATCTAACTTTTAAATTTATTGCTTTATTATTATTAATTACTTAACCATGGTTATTTTCATATAATTGATATAAAAAAATTATATCAATATACATTAGTTTAAGTATACTAATTAATATTTTTTCATTTTTAACATAATTAATAACAAAGATTAAAAATAGACGACAAGAAAAGTTAAAAATTTAAAACTAATATATTTTATAAATACTAAAAATAAACCATATTTAAATAAATTAAAAATATATTTAAATTTATATTCAACATACCTCCAATTTTACTCAATAAATTCATATATCACATTTGGAAACTTCATCACTTAAATAACTTCAAAATTATTAACTTTTTTTTTTCAAAGCCAAGTTTTTCTTGTCAGCTTTTTCAAAAAAACAGTTAATATAAGTTAAGGTTGTGCCTTTTAAAAATTTCAACTTTTTATATATTGGATTTTCATTAAAAATTTTCTAAAATTACATAAGAAAATAGAGATTTAATTATACTTTTAATAAATTTAAGATAATACTAGTTTTTATTTTTATTTTTAAATATTTATTTTAATTTTTTAAAACAAAGAAACTATAATTTTAGTTTCTAAATTCTAAATTTAAATAATTAAATTTATTATTATTTAATCTTTTAATTTTAGTATTAAAAATTAAAATTATATTTTATTAAATTAAAATAATTACAATATAATTTTCTACTTTGAGAATTAAAAATATAATTAAACTAAAACTGAAAATATTATAATACATTTTTGAACTATTTTGGAATATTTTTTTTCTAATTTTTTATAAAGTCAATTTTAATATTTAAAAGTATTTAACATTTTGAATTCTGAAACGTTTTCTCTATTAGCAAATTTAAAAACATAATATTCAAAAAAAATAGTTAATGTAAGTTAAGACGGTGCCTTTTTAAAATTTCAACTTTTTTATATATTGGATTTTTATTAAAAAAAATATAAAATGGGATAAGAAAATAGAGATTTAATTATACTTTTAATAAATTTAAGATAATACTAGTTTTTATTTATATTTTTAAATATTTATTTTACTTTTTTAAAACAAAGAAACTATAATTTTAGTTTCTAAATACTAAATTTAAAGAATTAAATTTATTTTATTTAATCTCTTAATTTTAGTATTAAAAATTTAAATTATATTTTATAAAATTAAAATAATTACAATATATTTTTCTACTTTGAGAATTAAAAATATAATTAAACTAAAACTGAAAATATTATAATATATTTTTGAACTCTTTTTTATAATATTTTTATCATTATTATATTTTTGAATTAATTGTTTTTTTTCCTAATTTTTTATAAAGTCAATTTTAATATTATATCATTCAAAATATTACAAAAACATAAGAAAAAAATACATTTAAAAAATATAATTTTACATCAAAATATTATTTCATATTATATACATATAATTTTAAATAATTTTATTATCCTCCTAATTTATTATTAATTTCTTAAAAATATATTACAATATCAAATAAATTAATTAATTAAAAATTAACCATACAAATAATATAAATATAATATTTAATAATATATTTTAAAAATATTATTTTACTACGTTCAATCATAAATCTAAATATATTATTAATTTTTAAAATATAAAAATATTTTTAAAATTTTAAATAAAATATTATAATATTATATATACATATATATTTATATATACTAGTTTTTTCATTTCTATAATATAGCATATAATAGCGGTTCCACGTGGAACCGCTATTATATGTTAACTTTTAAGAGCGGTTCGAGTGGAACCGCTATCATAGCTCACCACATATTTCATTATGATTGATTATATTTTTAAATAATCGATTATATTTGAAAATATATAATAGCGGTTCCAAGCTAACCGCTATCTAAAATATATTTTAGATAGCGGTTAATGTGGAACCGCTATTATATGCTCACTTTTAAGAGTGGTTCCAGTGGAACCGCTATCAAATATAAATGTCCAAATAATCGATTATATTTTCAAATAATTGATTATAATCGATTATTGTCAAATAATTGATTATAATCGATTATTGTCAAATAATCGATTATATTCGATAATTTTTTCAAATAATAAATTATAATCGATTATTTTTTAAATAATTGATTAGAATTGATTAGTTTTTCAAATAATAGATTATAATTGATTAATTTCTCAAATATATATTAAAAAATTATAAATAAAAATATATATTAAATCAAAATTAAAAAAATTATTTATCAATTATATATTATAAAAATTATAATTATATAATTAAAAAATCATATTTATAATTAAAATTTTAAAAAAAATTATAACTATAAAATTAATGTTAAATAAATTATATATATTAAATAAATTATATATATTATATAAATTATATATATATATATATATATATATATATATTACATAAATTAAAATTACATATATGAACTCTAAATTATTTTTATATATAAAATTTACATAAATAAAAATAAAAATTATCAACTTAAAAATAAATTATATTTTAATATATATATATATATATATATATATATATATATATATATATATTCTCCAAAGTATAAATTATTTTCATTTCTATAATATATAAAATATATATATATATATATATATTTTTTTTTAACTATTTAAAAAACTAATCGATTATTTCAAAAAGTAATCTATTAGTTTTTTCATACTTCATTTTTTCATACTTGATGAGAATCAGTTATTTTTTTAAATAATAGATTAATTTTTAAATAATCAATTAGTTTTTCAAATATATATTAAATAATTATAAATAAAAAAATATATCAACTTAAAATTAAAAAAAATAATTATTTTTAAATTATATATATTATATAAATTATAAATATAAAGTTAAAGTTAAAAAAATTATATTTAAAATTATAACCTTGAAAAAATTATAATTATAAAATTAATAAAAATATAACTATTTTTAATGTTAAATAAATTATATATATTATATAAATTATATATATATATATATATATATATATATATATATATATTACATAAATTAAAATTACATTTATGAACTCTAAATTAATTTTATATATAAAATTTACAAAAATAAAAATAAAAATTATCAACTTAAAAATAAATTATATTTTAATATATATATATATATATATATATATATATCTAAAGTATATACATATATATATTTATTTCATATAATATAACATATAATATAATAACGGTTCCACGTGGAACCGCTATTATATGTTAACTTTTAAGAGCGGTTCAGTGGAACCACTATCATAGCTCACCACATATTTCATTATGATTGATTATATTTTCAAATAATCGATTATATTTTAAAATATATAATAGTGGTTAACGTGGAACCGTTATCATATATAAATGTTCAAATAATTGATTATAATCGATTATTGTCAAATAATCGATTATATTCAATAATTTTTTCAAATAATAAATTATAATCGATTAGTTTTTAAATAATTGATTAGAATTGATTAGTTTTTCAAATAATAGATTATAATTGATTAATTTCTCAAATATATATTAAAAAATTATAAATAAAAATATATATTAAATTAAAATTTAAAAAAATTATTTATCAATTATATATTATAAAAATTATAATTATATAATTAAAAAATCATATTTATAATTATAACTTAAAAAAAATTATAACTATAAAATTAATGTTAAATAAATTATATATATTAAATAAATTATATATACTATATAAATTATATATATATATATATATATATATTACATAAATTAAAATTACATATATGAACTCTAAATTAATTTTATATATAAAATTTACATAAATAAAAATAAAAATTATCAACTTAAAAATAAATTATATTTAAATATATATATATATATATATATATATATATATATATATTCTCCAAAGTATAAATTATTTTCATTTGTATAATATATAAATATATATATA